GCTTGACAATTTTCTTAAAGCATCGCTGTCTCCGCTTTATTTTTATTTTTATTTTTATGTTTTTTTTTTCGGTGAGAAATGGGAGCGGAAATTAATGGCAAAAGTGGTAGAATCTTTGGTATGCATCAGGTGAGTTTGCTTACCAGCAGTTTGCGAAAGTGGTTGGCAGATTGAAAAGTGACCAAAATGATAAGAATTTGATCAAAGATCTCGTGTCGAAAGTGCTTTTTATAGATTAACCCATACCAGTATTATGGGATTTATCTTACAACGACGACTGTCAATTAAAAAAATAATCTTACTTAATAAGGAAATAAATGCATTAGTACATTATTTAATAAACTTCAATGCCAAAACTGGTTACCTTTTGATAGAGCATTGTTTGTTATTGTCATACAGAAGAACTTAAACAAATAAATTCAATTTTTTGCCGACCTCAACATATCAATTATTTGCTTCTAAGCAAAAAAAACTATTTGAGAAGACAGTATTATTTCAACACTAAATGCTACAGCCCCTACACTTTTTAGATTAATTAGTTTTTTTTATACTTTCATGGTATTAACATAATACTTATAATAAAGAAGTTGGATCAAATTGGGTTTTTGGTATAACTCATTCCAAAATATATTCCTACAATATTGTTAACATTTAATTATACCTGAAGGCGTTTAGTACTGTAGTTCTTGTATAATATTGAACCCCACTTGGCAGTCTTTATTTCAGTCACATGCCAAAGGCCTTTGTCTAGAGTTCCCATAAAATTATTCAGTTTCGCCTTCTTAGCAGTCATGTCCACATGCAAAACATGCAAATTTGCAGCAGTTTCAGTTGTTTTTGCTCGCTTTATGTGGCCTTAGCTGTTGCTTTGACTGTTGCTGTTTCGGTTGCAGTTGCAGTTGCTGTTGCTGCATCTTGGCCTAATACAATTAGTCTTGTGTAATACGCATGCCTTATGCGCTACGAGCGGTTTGCCGGAGGAGTGCCGAACCCGTTAGTGGTCGAATACATACAAATACAGTTATCGCATGCTCCGTACAATATTCCGCCTCCCTTTCTCCACTTTACGCAATTCGCGTCACACGCCGCACGCCGCATACAGCATGCAGCATAGCCGCACATGTGTTTTTGACTCGCCACCGATTGAAATTGCCTTTGGGAGCGGTGCGCGAATTGATTGTGGCCAAAACGGTGGCCGTAGCAGTAGCAAAAGTTGAAAGCCTTTTAGGCCGTCTCTCTCCATCGTTGCACCTCGATTTTGTCAGATTTTGTGTTACTGCAACTCCGATTTCGACTAGCAACTTGTTGCCAAAATGGTCAGTGCATAACGGTACAAGCCGCTAAACTAATTAATGCCACAAGGCAACGATCCCAAGTCCCAAATCCCTAATCCCCAATCCCCAACCCCGCTCCCGCGTTCAATGCAAGTGAAGTTGTCTTTGTCCGATCGCCCGCCAATCGGATTATTATTCAATAAAATGCGCCGTCGAACAAAGAGATGGCCAGCACTTGATGACAAATGCTTGGGCGGCCTCTCGGCTGGTAAAAAAAAAGAAAACTAAAAAAAAGCAAGACAAAAAAGTACTTGTTGGCCAGCCCAAACTGACCAACTTCAAAAGGCTGCTCCCAGTTTGATCCTGAGCTCTTGGCGGGGCCCTTAAAGCAAGCCGCCTCTATTCGATTTGCTCGTTTTGTTATCGCCAGCTTTTAATCTGCCCATTGCCGCGAAGGTCTTGGCCAGATTCCCTCCACCCCCCACAGCCTCCCTTTACCACTTTTGCCCCAGAGTTTGGGCCGCGTTCCTTTTCCAGCTAACTCGAAGCGGGCAATGCAATGTGAGGGGGCAAGTGCAACATGCATTGTTACAGCCGACGACCTTAACCCCAGGTAACCTTGCAGGAATTTGTGTAAAAGATTACCCAAATAAGTTAATTATATAAGTGAAACTATAAAATGTTAACGAAGAGATGGCCCAAAGAAGGCTACAATCTCTTTAGATGTTACCAATTAATGCTGTTCCAAAGTTCACCAATCTTTTATGTTCTTTTCCCCATCATAAAACAGCATGAATAGATAAATTGCGGTCCAAACTTCTCTGGGTCAACGGCAACACTGAGTGCCATTAATGGGTTAAGATGACGGTGTGGCCGAGGGACAGGTTGTGGTGGGGTTCACATTTAGATTCAGGTTCAGGTTCAGGAGCATCAATGTAGCAGACACGAGGAGTCGGCACCGAGGCAGCGGCTCGATTTTATTAGCTTAGCAAAAGGCTTTGATTGTTCTTGTTCTTGTTGCTGCTCTTGCCCAATGTTGCTGTTATGGCCTGTTGCGCTTGTCTAGACGGGCAATTTTTCACAAACACACACACACAAACACACACACGCAGACAGTTGGCCGGGCCAAGAGCTGGCTGTGTGCTGGACTTGCTCTAAAATTGGCATTTTTCGCACACATAAGGCAAAAATGTAAAGCGAAGTCAAGTCAAGAGACGGGGCCATAGCCACCACATCGTCCGCAGAGCCATAGAGCCGCAGCCGAAGTCGAAGCGGTTTATTTGCCTTGTGTGGCATCAGCTTCATCATCATCATCGTCATCGTTGTGGTCATCCCAGAGTTAAAGCCCCAGACTACGACTGCAACTGCGACTCCAACTTTAACACTGAGCCCAAGCCCGCTGGCATAATGTGGTGCAGCTTGGACATGGTCATATCCATGGAGTCCGAGTCTGAGTCCAAGTTCGAGTCTCGGACTTTGGCAATTTCTTTATTATTACGAGCGTTTCGTTGCTTGGTTGTCCTTTTAGGCCGCCTGTCACAGATCCGCTGATCATTATTGTTCCTCCATGTATATACACATATATATAAATAAATATATATATATATATATGTAGAGGTAGTGGACTATCGGGCTCCTCCGCCTGCTCACAATGCAATGTCAATGTTTTGTCTTAATGCGACAATGCTCGATCGCTGGATGGCCTGTCTCGCATGTTATTTAAATGGAGGAGTCGCCGTTGCCGCCGCATTGGGGAGTGAGGATTTACAGCCTCCCGGGTAAACAATTTATTATATTTATATGGCCGGTGCATACGTTCGTTCTGGCCATAAATTAAACGATCTTGGACTTAATGTGGCGGCTGCACAAGGTCGCGTGTTGTTATTATTGCCGCCTGTCCAGTCGGCAATTAAGCAAGTTAATCACAGTTCGATGAGTTGTCAGTTTGCCCATGGAGGGTGTAGGAGGATTGGAGGATTGGAGGACTGCCCGCTTGGCTAATCGCCAAGGAAGGTCACTCCCATCAGCTCCATCAGTGTGTGCACCCGAGCGCGAAGTTCTCCACTCCAGCGATGACATCATTCCGGTGGCAGATTCTCAGAATTTTAAGGCAAATATGTACTTTCATAAGCCATTTGCATATTAAGTTATATGTTTCCCTATTTCATCAGTAAGAGATCTAAGCTTTAGAAATAATACCTAGTAATGCACTTCAATTAAAAATGCAATAGTAATTTAATAAATCGTATAATAAAACTACTTCTTAGCACCCTAATAAACTCATAAAAAATTGGTTTATGATTTCTTAAAATGTAACAATTGAATTATGATAAATATAAACTGAAAAAAGCCTAATAAAGTAGAGTATTAAAGTGTTATATTAATAAAAAATATTCATTTTTGAATAAATTAATTAAACGTTTATTAATAACTGCACATCCTTACTTAAACTAAGCAAAAACAAAAGGAATCTACTGATACATCTACAAATACTTATTGATTACTTTGGATTTCTTTCGGATGGAGGCAAACTTTTACTTTCCCTAATGCAGACAAACAAAAGTTTCGCTTTAGTTAAGCCAGCCACGCCCCCTTGGTAGCCGCCCACCCACCGACCCCCGAAAATGCCCACATTTTGCTCCACTGCTGTGCGAGTTGGCAAGTTATAATTTACCTTTCAGCTTTGGCTGCCGAAGAACGCTGAAGAGCTGAAACGCGGACTCGCGGTTTCGCTTGGTTTGGCCGTAAATTATAGCCTCGTCTGCAACTTTTCTATATATTTGTTTGTTCGTACCCGACGATAGAGAGAGAGAGAGATGTATTCGGATCGGCTTTGTGTATTTTTAGGCTGCATCTTAATTCCAGGGACCAGTTCGCCTACACGAGTCACCGAATGTCGCCTGTTTGGGCTGTTTTTCGCTTTTATTTCTTCATTTTTCTCGCGTAATTTTTTTTTTTTGCACTTGGCCACCAAGTTAATTCTCCTTTCTGATTGCCTTTTAATAATCCAAAGCCATTGTATACTTGACCAGTTGGATGTGGGCTTTATGAGTTTATATATTTGTATGCTGCCCCTTTTTTTATTATAAGTATTTTTCTCGTCGATATTATCTTGATGGCTGCGTTGTTTGGTTTTTTGTTTTTGGCGTGTCATGTTCCATTCCCAGCAGTTGTGTTTGTGTAGGTGTCTTGTTTGGTCTTTTGTTTTTTCGCCGCGCTCGCTGTTTAGTTTGTTTAGTAGTTTGTTGTATTGCCTGTGTAAGGTAACTTGCAGGGGCAAGTTAATGACTAATGTGCTAGGGCTTTCGGGGAATAACGTATAAAGTATATGCATATAAGGGCAGGAAGAAACGGAGTGAATGAGTGAGTGAATCATGACAGGGCCGAGCTTCCAAACTTCTTTGGTCCGCGAGTTCGTTGTCTCAGTCTTTCGTTTTCTTTTTTTTTTTTGTCAAAAAAAAAGCTCTATCGCCCGCCCCCGACAAACCCAAAATCGTTATATTCGGCCATCACTCCAAATGGCCACAAATTGTGTGTGTATGTACTCCACGACCGAAAAACGAGGTCACTTTAGCGGGTTTTTAGCAGAGTGAAAAATGTATAAATACTTTTTGTGTTTCATTGCGCGAATGACATCATGCAGCTTCAGGGGAGCTTCTCAAGCTTTTCGCCTTGCACTCCCAGCTTATCTTACATTCAATGGCTTTTAAATTAAGTAGGGCTTACCTTTGGCCTGGGCTAATCCGCAGAAGAGGGCCGCCAGCCACAGAGAGCGCCACATTTGCATTGAAAGCGGCATTTCCTCAAAAATGTTGGATCTAATTGGTCGGGGGAAAACGGAAAGACAAACGGCATATTATTATAAGCATTTCGACCGAACTGAACGGCACATGCTCCACAAGCGGGCCAGCGTTTTATTCGTTATTTGTATTCTTGGCCTTTTTTGTCGTTTTCACAGACACAATATATACGTATTATACATCAGCGCAAACACACGCAGCGAGTTATTATGAAACAAAGCCAGAAGAGAATGCCCGTCAAGTGGCTTGCGGCGACCGTTCAACAAATCAAAAACCAAATGACAAACGACAAATAAAAAACGAAACGAAACGAAGTGAGCCGCGAACCACACACATATCACACAAAACTCGGAGCGGGTCTTACTTGACGGCTGCAGTGGAGGGAAACTCGAAACGACACCGAAGAGCACACGTACAAGCTGTTCGCTAGTCGCCAGTCGCCAAGCAACTGAGGCTCTGGACTCAGCTCGACCGAAGCTTCATTACCAGCGCAATGGCGAACCGGGAGAGACAGTAGTCAGCCAGTGGTGCTGCCTCAGGTTCAGAGTTTAACATAAATAAAAAAACACAAAATTCCACCTATCATATAATTGGCAACATTAAATTTTTAAATTTCTTAATTTTGAATACATTTTTATTATTATTACGGTAACAAATACTAGTTATATTAAAATGTATATTTGAGAACATAAGTTAAAAAAAAAAAGATAAATGGTATTTTTGGCTTGAAATATTCATAAACTAGCTAAAAAGCCAACATTCGTAGGCCATTAGAGCGTAAACAGTGAGAGAGGCAAGGCAAAGGCGCTTAGATAGCCGCTGGCTGTTCACAGTGCATAAATAAGCCGACATTTACGAAAGTGCTACATTACAATTTATGGGTTATTTAAATAAATTTAGATAAAAAGCAAACATGAACAAACTATCCACTGTGACTCTCATTCTCTCTCTCGCCGAGCATCTCTATCGCAGCTTTTTTTTAAAGGCGAAAAAGCTTTCAAAATAAGAGGCAGTAACTTGCGGTAAAAGGATCACTCTCTGTACCTCTCTTTGCCTCTCCTACGGAGATAACAATCAGCCGGTATGTTTGTCTCATGACCAAGATGAGAAATTGTGGGAGCGCAAAATCTTACAAGCAATTATGCAATCTCGTCACCGGCGTTGTTTTAGTTTTTGTTGCTGCTCCGCTATTGTTGTCAAAACAAACATTTATGTAATTGCGCTTGCTGTCAGCACGAACTGCAGGTTCTTCATCTCTGGGAAGTACATACATATTAGTTTAAAATCGGCTAAGTGCAACAGATGTTATGGATAATAGGTATAAGTACTTACGGTACTTGCTGGCACTTCCGCCAAAAACCGTTTCTCCGCTGGTCATCTGATGCATTTTCCAGAACCCAAAAAACCGAATTCTCAAGTTCCGCCCGTGAGCCCAATTTCACACCTCTTGGTTTCACGAGTGCTTGGGCATTATTCATTACGCTCCAACTTGTTAGTTTTCCAAACCAATGGCCATCCCATCATTAAACGGCAACGAAAACTATGGATACTGGCCATAGGCTCCTCTAAAACGGTAAATGACGTGCAAAATAAATGCAACCAACCGAGCGCACTAATTTAATTTGCTTATTTCACCTTAAGAAGTTTTCTTTTATTACTTAGTTGTATCATTTAGTGGATTATAATAAGCTATGGCCTAGGGCAATATTAAATTAAGCACGAATTGAAATTATTAAGCATTTACCACTTGCAGAAAAATTAAATAAGTTCGCAGTTTCTTATTCCTCTTTGGACACGATTCAACGATCTGGCAACGCCGTCGGCAAGGAAAAACTGTTCCAGCTGCCATCTCGCTCACACATAACGGAATGTATGTTTCCAAGAAAACGTCCAAATAAAATTATATAATTTAATGTTTTCACAAATATTTAAGTCGAAACACTGTGCATTTATAGGCCGGGAAGTGTGCAATATAGATAAAAACAAAATATATTGACGCACCACCCCGCCTGCAAATGTTTGTGTACATTGCAAAAGCTTTTAAAATATCTTGATGAATATCCATGATAATTTCAGGCCGGTAAATGTGCAATATGTTAAAAGTTCGCATATTGTCGCAGATACCGTCCGAAAAAGAATCTAGGTCTTAGATCAAACCCTTCTTTTTTTTTTTTGTCGTTTTCTGGCAGAATTCTATTAGCCGGGGCCAGTGCAATACGTAAAATTAAATGCTCGTATTGTCACCGCCAGCGACATATAAATTAATGCCGAATTAAATATTTTCTTAAACTGTCTTAAATGTTTTTATTCCAAAGTGTTGCGGCCGTCTCAAGTGCAATGCTAACCAGAAAACGCAGAATTGCCCCATAGACGTACCGAAACACCAGAAATTAGTACACAGATAAAATTTAAATGTTTTCACTGAAGCAGGCGGACGCCAACATTTCCAGGCTGGGAAATGTGCAATACCTTGAAATAAAATATAGTATTTGCCCAATCCACAGCCAAGAATTGTTAGCCAGAACACAATTCACTTTCAACGACCCACTCGCAACAAATTCCAAAATTGAAGTGCCGGACATCGATCCCGATCCCTTACCGAAAAGCCGGTGACAAAAAAAAAAAAAACAAATTAGACGAAACGGGACTAAGAGGAACACAGAAGTTGAGAGCAAGATGGCAATAGAGCAGAGAAGAGGTTGAACTTTTAATGTGTAGAGATATTAAAAAGAAAAATGGAAAGCTCGGGGAGAATAAACCTATTTTGGCACTTATACGAGAAAAATGAAAAAACCGCATAAGGATGCGGGATTACTACACCATTAAAAAGTCCGGATTTGAATATAAAAACATTTTTTCTTTAATTGTTATCTACGTGTTTCTTTATAGCACAAGTTATAAAAAAAATTAAATTCTTGAAATGCTTCATTTTTTTAACCGTTATTGGCACACATAATTTGCTTGCAAAATTCATGTTCTTAAATTTTTTTTTATTATACATAACGCTTGTAATGAATTTTTTAACAAAACAAACGTCTGGCACATTTCACAATTTCAAACATTTTTGGGTTATGTAGCACATTACGTCTTTTCTTGGCGTTAAGTTTTTATAAATATTTAAGTTGGTTTCGCAGATTTTGTAAAATTAACAAATCTAAGCGGAATCATCTTAAGCAGTTAAAAAAAAAAACCAATACTGACTTCGGTATCAAATGCAGAATCAAAATTTTCCAAACTCTAGCTTTAATATGATTTTAAAAATTAATTATTAAAGCGACGAGTTTGGAAAAATCAGATTTTGCCGTGCTCTCTTTCGTGTGCCTCATAGATGTATTTCTTTAAGTATGTAGAGCTAGTAATGGTGAACTTTTTTTTAACCAATGAGTAATAAAAAAAAAAAAAAAACACATTTACTAAGTCTACAAATTTATGAAATTTTTGAAAAAGTTCCTAGAATTCACAGTTAACTTACAAGGAGCTCCTCCACGGTCGACGGTCGAAACCAAAAAGAACTGCTGGGCTTATTTCAGCGAACTCAACATCTTTGTGACAGTGTTGCAAGTCGACCTTTAAAATTCTTCAGAAATGGCCCCCATGTACTTATTGACACTAATACAAGCATAAACAAACACATATGTATGTATGTATGGGAGCAAAACGCTCAATTTCAAAAAATCGCATTTATTTGATAGTATTTACACATACTTATGCACATACATATGTCTCAAAGAAACCACTCAAAACATAACCTCAATTTTAAAGTACCGATCAAATGATTTATTTCATGAAATACTTACCTATTTACAAAAATAAAGTCGAAGCATTTTAAATGTAAGTGAAAACGGTCAACTTACATTACCTTGTTTTCAGATAATCAGTAAAAACTTTTTTTCTTTCATGTTTCTATCGTTCGTCCTGCACATTTTCTTTCAAAATGCACCCATTTATTTATTGACACAAATACAAACATATTTAAGTATTTATGTGAGTATGGAAGCAAAAGCGCTCAATTTGAGAAAACCAACTCAAATTCAAGGAATCGCATATATGTATGTGATAATACATATTTGAATTTTAAAAGCATGTATGCAAAAGCCTAATTCAAAGAAATCACTCAAAACATAACCTCAATTTTAGTACCGATAAAATATGACTTATTCATAATATACTCACTTATTTATTAACAAATATAATGGCACAGCATTGTAAATAAAAGTGAAAATTATCAACTTAAACTAAAAACAATGGCCCCTTAACTAATTTTCAGAGTATCATACATATGTATGTATGTATGTATGTACATATGTACATATGTATGTGTTTCTTTCAATTATTGCACCAAATGTCATCGCTGCAGTTTTAATAACTATGTTAAGGGGGTTAATTTTCTGAGAAAACTATTTTCTACACTGTGTAACTATATTGGGGAAAATATTTTTTTGGAAAGAAGCTACAGCTAATCTCCGGAAGCTCTTCTAAATCTTTGGACCTTATCCTCCGAAAATAGCAAAATCAAAGAGATGTCGTTACAGTTTGTCAAATCTAGTAATTTATCGTAGGAGTAAGCAATATAAAGTTTTTTGACAAAATTCCTGTTTCTCAAACAAAAAATTGATTTTGAACAAAATTTCGGTATTAAATTAAATTAAAATAAAAGAAAACAACTAATAACAAATAAGTTTTATTAATTTAACACCTGATATAACCTCAATTTCAATCAAGTTTAATACAAAGCATAATATTTTATTTATCTATTTTAATTTCAGTTGTCAAGTTCAAATTGTTTAATAATTAGTCCAGTTAGTTGAATTCAAATTTCTGGTACTGCAGTAGTTGATGCTCTATTTTGGCTTTCAGTTTTACTCGTTCGTCCTGCATTTTTTGTAGGCGTTGTCGATTCTCATTGCTTTTGGCCATTGCAATCTGAAATTATAATATTTATGTTATTAATGCCTTAAAACTTTTTACACATAAATGAATAATCAAATAATTACTTTAAGGTTCTTATAATGTTCTGTTATATAACAAATGTGTATATTTGTGTTAAATCTAATGTTTAACACTAACTAGCATTAAAATGGAAATGTGCAATTAACATGGTTTGATTAAATTACCAATTACTAGGTGAATTATTGTTTATTGATTATACTTATGGTTAAGTAAATATCTGCTGTTAGGTCTTATATATAAAACTATTAAATAAATATACATATGTTAATTTGTTTGTCAAACAATGTACTTTTTAGAAAACATAATGGTATATACTACCAATAATATTAAATGAATTAAGACCTTGCACATGATATTGCTACTAGCATAACTGTATACAAAACAAGAATAGGATTTCAAGGATTGATTTATACACTTAATAAAATTAAAAAACGAATTGGTAACACCTCAAGCTGTTTTTCTTGGGACTCCAACTGTTGATCCATAAAACTCAGGCTAAAATCTAGATGCCGCA